GGAAGGCAATCAGCTCATAAGTCACACAGCTCATAAGTTTCTGAAATCAAATTTGAACTCAGGTCCTCATGACTCTAGGGCCAGTGCTCTATCCACTTCACTACCTAGCTGCCCCTGAATCTGCTCATTTTGATAGATAGGTAAAGTGAGGCCAAGAAAGGGGCCCAAAGACTTGCCCAAGGTCGTATAATGTATTATTGAGAGAGCAAGAACAAGAATCCAGATCTCTTTATTCTCTTCCCAATGCTCATTCTACTTAAAGTTATGCTTCACAGAAATCTTTTTATAAAAGGAATATTTGAACAAATTATCTCCCCTCCTTCTCTCCTCCCCCCTTGCTAGTTGGAAGTAAACACTCCTCCCAAGAAACTCTCATAGTACTTATTTTGTACTTCTTTTATGCACCAAAATTCGAGTGTCTTATTTTTCCCACCATCCTACTATAAGATCTGTAAAGAGAGGAAGCATGTCTTATTCTTCTCTCTATCCTACACAGCACCTAGAACAGAGCCATCAACATATTATATTAGGTAACTAATAATGACTGGATAAAATTGTTCATTGGAATGAACAAATTCGAGTGGGTTTCTTAACAAAGAATGGGCTTTTCAAGTTTCAGATATCATTTTCCATAAACATATTGAGCTAAGCAAAAGCCCCACATACAGTGTGATATATCTATGCAGGAGGTGAAGTTCTATTTCTGGAAGTACAGGAAACAAAATCTGAAACAGATGGAAAAACAAAGCTATAGTTCCTGCAGCATCTCCATTGGTAGCTTTGGATCAAACCACCTCATATTTTGTAGTTCCCTAAGTCCCCACCTTTAGTCTTTTACTCTCTTCATTATATACCCAGGCCAGGAGCAATTTTGAGAACATTCCATTCAAACTTTCTTATTTTATAAAGAAAGATACTTAGGCCCAAAAAGGCAAGTGACTTACTTGCCCAGGACTGTAGGGTCATAGGTCACATAGTGATTAAGGAGTAGAACAGTCAGCACTAGAACCAGGCTTTTCAACTCCAAGTTCAGAGTTTTTTCTTGTAAATCACATTGCTTCTTCTCAAGAGAAACTATTTCAAATACAAACTCTTTCACCATAATATATACTGTTTTGATAACAAAAACTGTACTTTTCTCAAATACCCAGATGGAAGACCATATGTAAAATCAATGCCAAAGATTTTTTTTTTATCGGCCATCTGCTAAAATTTCATCTTCACAAAATTTTCCACTGAGAATGCTCCATGTTTATCCCTGGTGCCACCTGCTGATCACATGTGGGTAGCACTTTCCCAAACTAATAACAGGAAATTGTGAATTTCTCATTTCCTTTCCCAAAATAAATGCAATGCCAATTCCTTGTAAGAGATGGAAACATCAAATTTTAAAATATTATAAGACTTCACAATATACTACAATCTTTAATAAAAATCATAAAATTGAAACCTGTGCATCCCTTTGAATTTACTCTTAACAGGAACAAGTAATAGACTGGTAATTTCCCTGACATAGGGAATTTCCTGATGAGGACACTCCCTCAGGTAGTCAGAGAGTTATCTAGTACACTGAAAGATTGAGTGACTTTCCCAGTTGTATTCCCAGTCAATGTGTCAGAGGTAGGACTTGAACACAGATAATTCTGGTTTCAAAACTGGCTCTATCCACTGTGCCATGCCACCTCACCCTTGAGAGTTTCACTATATTGCTCCAACTCATGCATGACATTCATTGTTTGTAGGTATATTTGAAGATATTTTTCTTCAGAGAATAATTATATAGGATATTAGAAGTCAAGTCAAATCAATAATCATGGAGTTGGGAGAGGGGTAGATGAGATCGAGCAAAAAGCAGTAGCATTCCAGTCTGACTGGAGCACAAAGTGTTTAATGCTCTTCATGAGAAGCTGTCATTTACTACCTCTGATATCATTATTGTAGAAGAAAGAATGTTGGGCTTAGGATCAAGAGAGACCTAGGTTGTAACCTTTGCTGGCTCTTTATCCAGGTCACACCTACTAACCATGGGTGTCCCCAAGGCCCTATCATGGACCCTCTTCTCTTGTCCCTTTATATTACATCACTTGGTGGTCTGAACAGCTCCCATGGATTCAATCATCATCTCTATGTAGTGAATTTTAAGATCAATTTATCCAGTCCTAACTTCTCTCCTGACCTCCAGTCACATATCTGCAACTGGCTCTTAGACATCTTGAATTAGATGCCTCCCAGACATCTTAAACTCAACATGTCTAAAGTTAAACTGATCTTTCTCTCCAAACCCCTTACCCTCCTCCTAACTTTCTTATTACTGTTGAATATATCACAGTCCTGCCCGTCATCCAGGCTCAAAACCAAGGTGTCAAAATCAAGTCTCAACTCCTCAACTCACTCCTCCCATACCCAATTAACTTCAAGTCCTGTCATTTCATAACATCATACACACACTCACACACACACACACACACACACACACACACACACACATATCCTCTTCTCTCCTCTGCTTAGTTGGTTTCGTTGCCTCAAATCTCTTCCTATTCTAGTCCATCCTCTACTCCACTGTCAAAATGATCTTCCTAAGTCATAGATCTGACCGTGACACCATCCCTACCTCACCTTTATCAACTCTAGTGGCTCCCTAATGACTTCAGGATCAAATATTAAAATCCTGTTTGGCTTTAAAAGGTCTTTAAAAGCCCTTAAAAGCCCTTCATAACCATGCCCCTTCCTACCTTTCCAATATAACATCTGACTCCCCTCAGCCCCTACCCCAAGCACTCAATGTTCCAGTGACACTGGCCTATTTGTTGTTCCTTGAATAAGAACCCACTCTCCCTCCTATCTCCAGGTACTTTCATTGGCTGTTTTCCAGACCTAGAATTCTTGCCCTTCCTATCTCCTCCTCCTGGCTTCTCTGGCTTCCTCCAAGTCTCAGCTAAAATCCTACTTTCTACAAGAAGCCTTTTTCATATTCAATTTTAGAGCATACCCTCTAAGATTATCTCCAACTTGCCCTGCATATATCTTTGTACATAGTTCCTTGCAGGTTGTCTCCTCCATTAGACTATAAGTTCCTTGAGAGCAGGGATTGGTTTTTGCCCTTTTTTGTATCCCTAGCACTTAGCATAGTGTGCCTGGCACATAGAAGGTGCTTCATAAATGCTTGTTAACTTGATACTAGCTGTGGCATTAGCTTGGTCTGTTGTGAAAATATGCAGAGGACACACAGTTAAAGTTGAGATTTTTCTACGGGCTCAACAGAAAAAAAATGGTGCAGACAAGAATGTATTGAGCCCTAACACCATCAAGACAATAAGTGATAGCAAAAGGCAAAGCAATTAGGAGAAATAAGTCAATCATTTCCATGTTGAAAGCCATAGAAACACTGGCACAGTGAAAAGCTTTCCTATGGACAATTAACAAAAACCTGAAGGTCAACTTCAATTTTAATGTTGGATAAGTGATGATTTTACCAAAACTTTTGAATAATTTAACACAGAAAGGCATATCAGCTACGTACACAAAAAGACAACAAAACAGAAAAACAATGTCTTAGAAACTAACCTATAGGCTACATAAACCACCATTAAAAGACTAACCAAAATGGCACAGATCCACAGAATTTTAGCAATGCATGAGACCTTAAAGTACAGAATGTTAGAACCTAGAATACTAAAGCTCGTTTAGGTAAAGTATTATCCCCATTTTACAGATGAGAAAACTGATACATCTTGAACACAGGATATTAGGACATAGAATTCCAGAGCTACGAGGGACCTTCAGACATTAAAACACAGAACATCAGGACATGTCAAAGCTGGAAACAACTTTAGAATACAGAATTTTAGAACACAATCATAGAATGGCAAAACTGGAAAGGACCTTATAACATAGAAGGCTGGAACACAGAATCATAGAACTTCAAAGATGGGAAGGACCTTAGGAAGCATTTATTTCAAATCCTTCATCTTATTGATGAAAGAATTGAGACCCAGAAAAGTTAAGCAACCTGTTCAAGATCCCAGGGCCAGTTAATGGCCATGCCAGGAAGAAGCCCCAGTTCTAGTACTCCTTGCACTAAAGCCTGCTTTCTCCCACACCGAATAACTTCTTTTTGGAACCACTTCCTGAAGTGTCTCCCTGCCTCGAAGTGGGGTAATAGGGTTAGAGCAGGATGGGGTCATCAAGGTCATCTAATCTGCTCCTCTGTTTTACAGATGAGATGACTACTATTCAGAGAAATTAAATGACTTGACTAAGGTTTATGACAGAGCCAGGATTTGAATGCAGGTCATTTGGCTCCACTTTCCCTTTTCAACCCTGAGATTATATGTTTCTATAAGATACAAGGCAGTACAACAAAGTTAGCAGTGTAGCAGACACGGAAATTCATAGAACCTCTTCAGGAATCAGTTTTCCCAACCGAAAAAATGTGGATAATACTTGAACTAACTACCTCACAAGACTGGCACTTATATAGCTCTTCAAAATCTGCAAAATGCTTTATATCCATTACTCACTTGAACCTCACAGCAACTCTGTGAAATAGATACTATCAATATCCCCAGTCTTACTTATGAAGAAATCGAAGCTCAGAGATGTTACAAGTCTTGTCTGTCACACAACTATTGAGCATTGGAGGTGAAATTTGAACTCTAGTCTAATTAATTACAAGCTCAGTGCTCATGTTCAAATTTGTGTGGTATTTACCTGTATTCATGCCTTAACCCCATTACTAGATTAGAAACTATTAGAATAAATAGGTCAGGTCCTATTTATTCTTGTATCTCCCCCTAGTTCCCAGCACCATGCATTTCACATGCATACATAGCATGTACTAAATAGATGTTTATTGGATGAATTGTTTGTTTGTGGAATGAACATATGCAAAGATGGTTTTAGAGCACAGTCTCATATTAATAATTGTGACCAAAATTGTCATAGAGACAGATATAAGTCATGACTCAACTTTAGAATGTCCTCAGAATGGGATCTACCTGAGCAACAAACAGTTGGAATTCATCAGGCAAAATCCATGAGCGAGGATAGAAGTTGTACTCCTCAGGAAAGAGATCTTGCATGATTCTCACGGCTCGGCTCAGCGTAATTTTCCGCACCATTTCTGTCATGCCTGGTAGGAGGAGAAAGGAGGAAAGAAAACATTGGAAATGTAGCACTGTGGGGTATCTACACAGATCTTAGACCCAAGAACATAGAATATTAAAAAATATAATCTAAAATATTCTATATGTCAGAGTTCTGTGACTTAGCCTATAGTCTTCTACCCAACATATTGTTTTTCAAGTAGAATTAAGAAAACATTGAATTTGATGACAGCATTGCTTACAAAGACCAAACAGATCATGAAAAACTAAAGAGAACAAAAGTATCTTTCTAACCACATAAAAATAAATGGCTAATGTTAGAGAAGAGCTATACTTAGCTTTGTTACTAACCTCTAGAATGAAGGGTTTCGTTTTATTTAATTCAGCAAGCATTTATTAAGCACCTACACTGTGCCAGACACTACACCAAACACTGGAGACACAAAGACAAAAATAAAACAGTCCCTCTCTCAAGAAGTTTAAATTCTACTGGAAATAAGATGAATATAGAAAATTTAATATAAAATACATATAAAGTAATTTCTGTAGGGAGGGTGCTAGCAACATAGTGGGCTCAGGATGGGCCTCAAGGAGGATGTGGCACTTGAGCTGAACTCTGCAGGGAGCCAAAAGTGCTAAGCTGCAGAAATAAAGAGGGAGCATATTCCAGGCAAAGGCACAAAGACAGGAGATGGAACACTGTACATAGTTAATGCCAAATGGGCTAGTTTGACTGGAACATAGAAAATGATGTGCAATAATCCTTGAAAGGTACACTGGCACCAGGATGCCAAATATAGGAGTTTAATATCTTACCCTAGAAGCAAAATGAAAACCCTAGAGTTTCTTGAATGGCATGGTCAGACCTGTGCTTTGAGAATATCAATTTGGCAGTTGTGTGGAAAACAGATTGGTGAAAAGAAAGACTGGAAACAGTGAGGCCATTTAGGAGACTATTGTCCAGGTGAGACATAACAAGAGTCTGAGCTGGGGTAATAGCTGCATGAGTGGGGAGAGTGTGGTGGATATGAGATATATTGTGAAAGTAGAGCCAACAAGACTTGAGCATTGAGGGATGAGGAAGAGTGAAGAATTGAGGATCATTTCGAGATTACAAATATGGGAGACTGGAAGGATGAGGGTACCCTTAACAGAAACGGAGAAATTTTGAAGAGGGGAGTGTTTGAGGGAAGAGAAAATGAGTTGTTTGGATATTGTTGGGTTCAAAATGCCTATGGGCCATCCCACAGCTGGAAATGAATAAGTGAAAAAGCATTTATTATGTGCTTAATATGTATACCAAGCATGTGATAGGGATACAAATAGAAAAGAAAGCCTCTGCTCTCAAGGAGCTACCACTCTAACTGAGGAAGATAACAAATAGAGCAGAAGGAAGGGCTTAAAGGTCCTAAAAGTTCAGTGGCAGGGTGAATGGCAAGGCCCAAAAGTCTTTAGTATGCATGAACACCCCACCACCATCATCATCACCAGGGATGGGAACATAGAAGGAAGTAGCTCACCACCACTGGTAAGGGGAGAGTACACCTAAGAGTCAGGTTTTTTAAATTATCTACCTTGGAATATGTTCTCCTTGAGCCCCTAAAATCCACTCCTTTCTCCTCCAACATCTCTAGCCACTGCAATCTTACCCATTCTTCAAAGTTTTCAAATACCATATCCTCTAAGAAATCTCCCCTGATTTCCCTCAGTTAAAAATGATATTTCCTTCTTTGCACTTTGTTTATATCTTTCTTGTGCGTTTGGCATGTCCTGTTCTTATATTTTGGGAATCTATGTCCTATCTCCCTTAACAGACTACAGGCTGGGGCTTGTAGGATGGCTAAACTACGATTTATTCATCCTTGTGGATATCTCCTACAGTGCCTAGGACAGTGCTTTGCACTCAGCTGACATTTAACAAAAAGTCATTGAAATGAACTGACTTGAGAGAAATAACTCCCACAATCTATCCACAGCACATAGACATTTAAGTAACTTGCATTTTTCACATTTCCTGAGTTAGTGCTAGAAGTACTAAATGGGATAGGATATACCAACACCATCCCATTGCAAATAATTCTATCTTGTACCTGGGACAGAATATGGAAAAAAATATTGTGAACAAAATGTGTGACCAAAAAGAATCTTTAAGATTTTGAGAGTTAGGTACATATGATACTTAAATATATTTGCCCTAATAATTTTTAAAAGAGTTAAATTTCAAATGCTTAAAAATTTAAAAAGTTAAATTTCAAATGCTTCAAAAACTCAGCAAGTCAGAATTATCCTAAATTTCATTATTTATAAGGTTTGCTTATTTGCTTAAACTTATTAGACATGGAAGAAACACAGACTGTTAAAATAACAGCCAAAAGGACTAAATTAATAAGGTTTGCTTATTTGCTTAAACTTATTAGACATGAAAGAAACATAGACTGTTAAAATAACAGCCATAAGGACTAAATATCTGACGTCTTTTGTATATGGAATCTTCTAAGAGAAGAAACTCTCTCTGCCAAAGATTCTTTGCAACTTATTCTCTTAGAACGTTACCCAGAGCATTTCAATAGTAAATAACTTGCCCAGGCCCACATAGCTATCATATGTCAAAGGTGATATTTGAACCCTGGTTTACCTCATTTTGATGTTAGTCCTCTAGCCATTGTGCCAAGTTGCGTCTACAGAAAAAGCTTACATTTATATAACACTTTAAGACCTACAGAGTATTCTCATTCAATCCCCACAACAACCTGTGAAATAAGTATACAAGATATCATTATTCCTATTTTATGAATGAGGAAACTAAGTCTCAGAGAGATTATTGCAAATCATCATTGCAAAACTACTAAGTGGAGAATGTGGTATTGGAACCCAGGTCTCTCTTTCTTGACTCCAAATCTAGCATTTTTTCCATTATAATATGCTGACAAGTTGGGAATATAAATAAAGACTTAGAATATAAATCAGAAATTTAGTGCTGGACGTGACATCGTAGAAGTCATAGAGATATCTATTCCAACCATCACTTTTTATACATGAGGAAACTAAGGTCTCACAGAGCTGAAATTATTTGCCCAAAATCACACAACAAGTTTCTAAGCCCTGGGAGCAAAAAGTGAATTAAGAGGATAAAGTTTTTAACACATGGAACTTCTTGACTCACACAGCATAATAAACCAAAGCACTACATCTGAAGAGCAGAGCTTAGAGTTGTCAATACTTTAGTTCTTAGCTCTTGTTTAAAAGACTATCAGAAAGGATTAAGTAAGAAATCAAGCAGCTTGAAAAGATAGGGTGGCTGAACTCTAACATGAATTCTTCAACAATAGAGACAACTCACTGTGGCCAGTACTCTGAGATTTTATAAGAAGAGACTACAGTTCAATCCAATGGACTACTATTTCCTTTCCCCCCAATTAAAACAGAAGTTTCAAGAAAACATAAATAAGCAGCCTCAGAAGCTAAACAGTGGGTCCTGTTAAAAATGAATTAAACAAAATTAAAGTTTTCTGGGTCAGTATATCCAGTTAAACCACCTTGCTGGTTTAATTTATGATTCCCAACTTGATTTTCTGTTAAAAATATCAAAATCCTTTTTGATTAAAAGCAACCCAACATTATACCCTGGGTGGAAAAGATATAGAATCAGAATGTTTAAGTTGGGAGGGACCTTAGCACATGGTCCAAGCTCCTCAATTTAGAGATGATAAAACTGAGACTCAGAGAGGCTGTGATCTTTCCAGCTGGAATAAAATCAAAATTCAACTCAGTAAAAAATTAACAATAATGAAAACAATAAATAATTATTGATAGTATTTGTATAGTACTTTAAGGTTTACAAAACTTTATACACATTATCTCTTTTGCTCCTCACATCCCATAAGATATTGTTTCTATTTTATAGATGATAGAAATGAGGCTCAAAAAGATTGAATGATTTTCTATGTTCACACAGCTAATAAATGTTGGAAGAAGAATTCAAACTCAGGTCCCTCTTGATCCCAAGTCCAATACTCTTTCCATTACAAATGGACACTCTAAGCACTCGCTAGATACAAGGCACTCTAAGTACTGCTAGGTACAAGGGGAAAGGAGAAAGATACATATATTACTCTGAGAGAGATTATGATCTTACCAGGGGAAAGATATGTATACAAATCACTATAATAAAAAGGAGAATGGGACCAAAAGTTGAAGTTTACATATTACTTTCAAGTTTGCAAAATGTATTACACCAGTTATTTCATTTGACCCTCACAATAAAAAGGTAGGTACTATATTTGATCATATGGAAAATTTGATCAACATGGAAAATAAGTTGAAGGACTCAGAAAAGTTAAGTGACTTGCTCTTAGTCTCACAGCTAATGGCAGTCAGGTAGAAAGACTTCAGGATTTGGAGTTTGGAGGCCCTAGGTTCAAATCCTCATACTTACTACCCATATGACCTTGGAAGCATCTCAACCTTTCAAAGGCCTCAGTTTCCTCATCTGTAAAAGGACAAGCTTGGAATAGATGACATCTAGGGTCCCTTCCAACTCTAAATCTATGATCTTCCATTTGAAAAACTCCAAATTTCTTTTATCCAATCCTTTTATCCAATGACTTCCAATCTCTCTATTCCATCATACTGTCCCAAACTGTTACCCCTGCTCTAGCTACATTCTCTTCTCTTCCCAAGCCCTCAAGTCCTTGTTGAGCCAGTTCAACACTACACTACCCTCTACTTTTGAATCCTTTATTCTTGTCTTATTGCTTATCACACCTTGCCAGACCCCAACCCTGATTTACTTCTACTATCTGCCTCCTTCACTGCTAAACACAACTGGAGAAAATAACAACTGGAGAAAATAACTGGATCTACTAAAAAATTATGCTAGTTAATTTCAACTAGGCCCTCAATGCAACAAGGCAATTCTACTATCCTTCCTTTCTAAATAATTCCCCAGGCCACTCAACACAGCAGCTGTTCCACATCTCTTCTTAAATCTCTCTCACCTCTCCCCACTCTAGCCCCTTAGCTGGACTTTGCCTCCCCATGCTCTAGGCTGAGGACTTCACCTCATGCTTTACTGAAAAAAAAATGAGGCAAATCAAAGTGTTCTTCTCCCCTCCTCCTCATCTTCCATTCCTCTGATATCTCCTTACTATTTTTTCTATCATTCTGGTCTTTGACAAGTACCCATCTTTTCACCAATCCTAACCTTCCTATAAGTACCCTTGATTCCCATCTACTCCTTTTTTTCTAGCAGATTGCCCTCTCTTATCATCATCATCATCATCATCATCATCATCATCATCTCCTCCTCCTCCTTCTTCTTCCTCCCTCTCTCTGTCTCTGTCTCTGTCTCTGTCTGTCTGTCTGTCTCTCTCTCTCTCTCTCTTTCTCTCTCTCTCTCTCTCTCTCTCTCTCTCTGTTTCTCCCTCTCTTTCTCTCCTGCCTTCTACATTCCTGTTCCACATTAATGGACATTTCGAACTGGATAACCCATAGGCATATTAAGCTCAATATGTCCAAAAAAAACCTCACTCCTCTTCTAAATTTCCTTATCACTGTCAAGGGTACTACCATCCTTTCAGTCACCTAGGTTCACAACTTAATGTCATCCTTGATTCTCCTTACTCTCATACACCATTTATCCAACCAGTTGCCAAATCTTGTAATTTCTTTCTCAAGAATAGGGATTCTTAACCTGGGATTTATAAGCTTATTTTTAATAATTTGATTGCTAAATTCTCATATCATTGGTTTCTTTTGTAATTCTACATATTTTCTGCATTTAAAAGCCTTATTCTGAAAAGAGGACCACAGGCTTCACCTGTCAAAGGCGATTCATGACACAAAAAAGGTTAAGAACCCTGCTTTAGAATATCTCTTGCATTTATCTGCTTCTCTCCACTTATAGCTACCACCCTAGCTCAGGTTTTCATCGGTTGGACTGTTACAATAGCCATCTAAGTAGACTGTCTCCTGCAAGTATCTTCTCACTCTTATCTATCCTTTCCACAGCTGCCAAAGGGATCTTCCTGAAGCACAGGTCTGACCACATTACTCCCCTGCTCAGTAAGCTCAATGGCTCCCCATTATCTCAAGGATCAAATATGAATTCCTTGGTTTGGCATTTAAAGCTCTTCACAACCTGGCCCTTTCCTATCTTTATAGTCTTTTAATCCATCATTCCATTCCATGAACTCTACAGTCTAATCATGCTGGACTACTTTGCTATTCCTAACATAGCATATTCCACGCTCCGTCTCCCAACTCCATGTTTTTGTCCTGCTTGTCCCCCGTTCCCGGAATGTTCTCCCTCCTACCTTACACAATCTCTGGTTTCTTTAAAGACTGAGTTCAAGTGCTACTTTCTCTAGACCACCTTTTCAGGACTGCCACCCACCCCTGCCCCCAGCACCTAGTGTCTTCCCACTAAGGCTACCTTCCATCTACTCTGTAATTCTCTTAGATGTACCAATTTATGTGTATGTATGTGTATATACACATATGTATACATGTATCCAGTACATAACACAGTGCCTGGTATATAAAAACTTAATAAATGCTTGTTGATTGATTGGTCCTTTGACCACAAATCAAGCACACTATCCACCATGCCATGATAGCTCTTAATGAGTACAAAGAAGAGGTTCAGACAAAGTGACATGAAGTATTTAAGGAGGGTGAAGAAGTAGAGGATACATCAGAGGAGGTTTCATGGTAGAGGTGTCACCTGACCTAGGCCTCAAATAAAAGGAGGGACATCATCAAACATTATGAAGTATGGTGTCATGGAAAGAGCACTGGACTTGGACTCAGAGGACCTGGTTGGGTTCCAATTCTAGCTCATATGAAAATATATACTAGCTATATGAAAAAGGGTAAGTCATTTAACCTTTTTGAGTCACGGTAACCATATTTGTAAAATGAGGATAATACTTGCAACTATCTTCCTCAGAGTAGTTGTGGGGAAAGCACTTAGTAAAGTTTTTTAAAAGTGTATATAAATTTGAGTTATTAACAAAATAACAATGAGAAAGCTGAAGGTGGGAGTGGGGAAGAGTTCATTTTCCCACAGCTAAAATGTTGTTTAAAATAGTGATTAAGTTCCACATCAAGACAACTTAATCCTTAATAATAGTAGGATGAACTGCAGTTCTCATAGTAGCATTGAGCCTAACCATTATTTATAATATTTATAAAAGACTTAGAAATAAACTATTAGAATGCAACTAGTTTATAAGTTGGGGGATACCTTTTGGATTTTCTAAAAGCAAGGTACATTTAAAACAGATTCTTTTGAAATAAATAGTTTTATTTTAGAATCATCCATTAAGATATTATACTAGTTTTATATAAATAAATAGTCCATAGAAATTACTGAACTGTGATGTGATAACACAAATACACTGACTGCCATATGTGGATCCAAAAACTCTGTTTACTCAATATGCAAAGTATTTGCTCTTGCCTGGAATTTCCATTGGAAATTGGGATTTCATCAATATCAGCAACTGACATGAATTAGCTTCAGTAACAGCTGGATTGTCTAAGACAGGCTGCATTTAAGAGCCAGTTTTCATTACTGGCAAGAATTCATATGTTTTCTTAAACTTCACCCTTAAAAATGTTACCTTCAGGTGAGAGTAAACAAAAGTGGTATGAGATTTGTTCTGCACAGTACCAGGAAATAGACCAGGGAACAAGAAGAGCTGCAGAAAGACAGAGTTCAATAGCTAACAGAAAACTTCTTAACAGTGAGAGCCCCCAAACGGGGAATGGTATGTTTCAGGCCTAGTGTGTACAGGCATTGTGCTAAGCACCAGGCCTATGGCACCCCCTACCCCCAACAAAAAAAAAAAAAGGAAACAAATAGTCCCTGACCTAAAAGAGCTTAAATTCTAATAGAGGAGATAACACATACATTCATGAACTTCCCTGGACTGTTTTGTTGTTATTCAGTCATTTCAGTTGTGTCTGACTCTTCGTGACCCCATTTGGGGTTTTCTTGGCAAAGATACTGGAGTGGTTTTGCCATTTCCTTCTCCAGCTCATTTTACAGATGAGGAAACTGAGGCAAATAGGGTTAAGTGACTTACCTAGGGTCACAAAGCTAGTAAGTGTCTTGAGGCTAGATATGAACTCAGGTTTTCCTGACTCCAGGCCTGGCACTCTATCCACTGCACCACCTAGTTGCCCCTAGCTATGATCTTGGACCTGAACTTCATTTTTTTCCTCTCTAAAATAGGCATAATTATAGCCCCACTACCAACCTCTCATAGAGACTGTGATTAAAGGCCACATATTATTTCTATGATCCAAACGGTAAAAATCATGCCCTTATAGAAATGACATCAGGCTGGTACCACTTGCCTTTCATAATCATAGCCTCTAGTCTAGGGAAGCCTTTATAATTTGATTATATCACTGACTTGCACTTATCTCCCAAGATAACCTGATAGCAGTTTGAATATTCTTTGTGCTAAGACTCCTCCCAGCTCAGGTCCCTTTCACTTCTACATTCTTTAGTTTGCATTTGCAGTAAACCGGTATAGTTCATCTTTTTGTGTTTCTGAGCTTTTAGTCTATGAAATCTTAAGTTTGCATCCCAATCATATTTAAGTTCACCTCTTTTCTGAGATAGCCTGATAAAATTTAGCAATAAATTCCATCCATAAGTTTGAGTTTTCAGACCTGCCGTGTTTTTATTGATATACCTAGGAAACCTCTTAAAGAATAACAGTGCCAACTGGTACCTGGGAACTTGTTCACTTGACCTGAGAGTATGTCACTATCATGAAAGGAAACTCCATGCCAGTAGATATCACAGGGCAAGCGACGACCAAAGGGAAACTGGAAGAAATAGAAATAAGAAAAAATAATTAGGTTATTACTTTCATTCTGTTACCATGAACTTTTAGTTACAATTGAAGGTTCTAGCAAATCTGGTAGTGGGAAATTTGAATAGCAATACACTTTCACCTAAGTTGGTCATTTTTGTCTTAAAGATCAGGAAGACAACCTTTTAAAACCTAGTGATATTGTCTCCTATTTCTTTTAACTGTTTCATCACATAAATTCTTTTTCCCAACTATTCTATCTCTCATGGAGGGAGGAGAGACCAATCCCACATTTCTTTGGTATTATACCATAGAAGGCACAGGATTAACACTTCTTGAATTCCACAACTAGCTATTTTTAAAGCCTCAAGCAAGTCATTTTCCCTCTCTGACCTCAGTTTGTAAAAGGACATAACTAGATGCTATCTAAGGTCCCTTCCAAGTCTAATGTTCTAAGTTCTCTGTTCTAGCATTAAATATTAGAAGATTTTTTCTATTTTTTTCTATTTATCTTTTCTATTATTTTATTTTCTATGTTCATACTGCAATTACATTAATATCATTTTTTCTTTTTATGTTTCTGAAATTCTAGTCTACATAATCTTTAGTGGTTTATATCTTTTAAGTTCAACATTATCCCAAGGTAGACTGATGGCAGCTTTAACATTCTATTTTCTAAGATTACCTTCTAGTTCTAATATTCTGTTCTCTAAAATTCTGTCTTCAAAGGTCCCTTACTGCTTTTGCATTCCATTTTCACACAAGTTTGGAACACAGAAAGTTAAAGCTAGGAGGAATATTTAGTTTTCACCCTCATTTTATAGATCACAAGATAATAGATTTAGAGCTAGAAAAAACCTTAGAAGTAATCTAGTCCAATTCTTTCATTTTACAGGTGAGAAAACTAAGGCCTATGGGGACTCCGAGTTCATCAAGGACATACAGCTATTAAGCAAAAGAACTGGGACTCAAAACCACCTCTCCAAGCTCCCAGACTAATACTCTTTCTACTATTCTATGCTGCTTCTTCAAGTATCCCAAATTGAAAAGGAGATAAAACAGAATCACACCTTTTAAATAAATTATATTAATTTAAAAGGCATAACAAAACAAGACATATGTTACACATTTATAAGCATCAACAACTTGGCATTTATAATTTATAGCATTTTCAATCATTTTATTTTGCATCAAATGGACTGTAGGTTATTAATTCAGAAGAAACCATGAAAACAAGGAGAAGAAAACATATGTCATTTTCTTCCAGCTGTTAAATGCTATCATTTAGGAAAGGAAAAGCAAACAAACCAAACAAACCAATATTCAACCAGAATCACTTAGTAAGCCTTAAAGCTTACAAGGCAAGGTGCTTAATACTTTGGTATTTAGTATTTGGATACAATGACAAAAGATAATGAAGAACCACCCCTCAGGGAGTTTATCTGATAGGGTAGAGATTAGGGGGCACAAGTATACAAAATATAATACAAGAGAAAATGTTCTCATCCAAATTCACCCTGGGCCTTCTCCCAACTTTGTACTCTAGCTTTTCTTGTCCATTCCCTTGTACCTTCTGGACCCCATTCTATCCAAACATCCCTTAATCCTTCATCTTTTCCTCTCATACTCCTTCATTTCTGGCACTTAGGGACCTGTTTCCCACTAGAAGATGCTACTTCTCTTGCCATCCTTTCTGGTACCAGATACTTCTCATATGCCCATGCTCTCCAAAATATAGCCATAGACTTCCTTGCTTTCAGAGGTTGCCTTTATTCACTTTTATCAGATTTGAGTAGCAATTATCTACTGTCTCAAAGGTCCTGCAGCCTCCTTTCTTGGTTCTTCGTTACCTGAATCACAATAGTCCTCTCTCATCCACCCATGGGACTTCAATATATGTGATGACGTTCCCTCAAACACCCTAGACTCAATTCCCCAACTTCCTCAACTCCTATTACCTATAATTTCACTTCATCTTAGCCATATATGTGAGTGTTCAAACTCTTACTATCATCATTACCTATAAATGTTTCATTTCCATGTCCAAGAACTCTGAAATCCCTCTATCCAACAGGAAACTCCTGTCATTTCATCTCTCCTTGTGTCTCATTCCTAAATCTATTCTTTATAGTCACCATGACTTTCAGTTCCTCTTTCTATTAATTCTTTCCCAGGCCATCACTCCTACTCTGGCTTCAATTTCCATACTTCCTGGTCTTAACCCTATGCTTAACCAACTTTATAGTATCCTCTACCTTGAATCTCTTGGCCCCTGTTTTATCCTGGCTCATGCCTTGCCAAACCCCAACCCTACACTACCCTTCCTACCCCCCTACCTTCTCCACTCCTACTATATTGGAGGAAATCAGCAACCACTTTGACAAGGCCCACTGCAACTATGTTCCCAATTTTCAACGGGGCATTCAATGACCCAAGGCAATCCTTTTACTCTTCCCTAATTGACTACAAAGTATCTCCCATAGCAGTTATTCCAAACCCTCTCTCCTCAAGCCTCCCACACTATTCCCTCTTTAAAGAGGACCTTGCTTCAAACTTTATTTAGTAAATAGGAATAGTTCCTCATGAGCTCCCACTTCTCCCCCACTCTGCATCTCACAATCGTTGTCACTGATAGCCCACAATTTTCCCTTCCATTACTCCAGTCTCTGATCAAGACATGACTCTTCTCCTCTCCAAAGCTGATCCTTCTATTTACACCCTTCCCACCAATCCCCTCCCATCCGTTTCGGAGAGAGCCCCTTCAATAATTCTCTCTTCTCCTTTTACCCCTTTTCCCCTTCCTCCCCTTAACTACCTAACTACTGGCTTCTTCCCTTCTCCTGGCAAATATGTCTAGGTTTTCTCCATTAAAAAAAATTTAATCACACACACCCCCTCAGGCTATCATCCTATATCTCTTCCCATTTCACCAACAAACTCCTCAAAACAGCAGTCCATATGACATCTTTTTGAATATGGCCAAAATGGGAATTTATTCTGCTTGATTTATACAAACTTTTACAAGGGTTTCATTTTCCTTCTCTTTTTTCATGGAAAGGGGAGGATGAGAGGTGAGAGGGGGAAAAATTTTTCAGTTCTAAATTCTGTGATCCTAAGAATTTAGAATTAAATTATTCATTCATTCAACATTTATTAGGTGCCTATTGTGTGCATTGAAGCCTTTGTTAGATACTAGGGGATATACAAAGAAAAGTCATTACACTTTAGGGACTTACAGTCAAGTAGGGGTAGAGAAGACATGAATACAATACTATTACATTACATTTATATTCTAAAGCACTTTGAGATCAGAAGAGAAAGATGCTTTCTAAATGGAGTTATCAGGGAAAACTTCATGAAGGAGGTAGTATTTAAGCTAGGCCTTTAAGACGGCCAGGACAGAGTCCTTTGCAATACCCATAGTTAGTGAGCATGTCCTGGATGAGGATCCAGCAAAGGAGACAGAGAAGTGGTAAGACAGGTAGAGAAGAACCAGGAGAGAGTATTAGCCTGAAAACCTAGAGAGAAGAGATCATGAAGGAAAAGAGGGCAATCAACAGTGTCAAAGGCTGCAAAGAAGTAAATAAGGATGATTACAAAAAAGCCATTGGATTTGGCAATTAAGAGATCATTAGTAACTTCAATGAGAGTTGATCAGTGGAATGAGGAGAGTAGGTGCCAGATTGTAGAGGGCTAAGAAGAGAGTGAAAGGAACTGAAGGTACTTATTGAAGTCAGCCTTCTCAAAGAGTCTAGCCACAAAAGGCAGAAGAAATAAATGAGAATAGTTAGCTGGGATGGAAGGATCAAGTGACGGCTTTTTGAGGATGGGGGAGACATACACACGGTTATAGACAGTAGGGAAGCAGCCAGTAGACAGGGAGAGATTAAAGATAACAAAGTGGGGATGATAGAGGAGGTGATCTGCTAAAGGAGACAGAATGGAATGGAATCACTTGTACAGGTTCAGGGGTTGGTCTTGTCAAGGAGAAGGGCCACCTCTTCATGTGAAACAACGTAAAGAAAAAAGGAGATAATGGCAGAGGCATTCAAGCAGTGTGAGATAAGGAGGAAGGGAGAAGAGGGAGCACTCCCTGAATAGTCTTAATTTTTTCAGTAACATATGAGGCAAGGTTCTCACCTGAGAAGATGAGGGAGGGGTAACAATGGGGAGTTTGAGTAGGGATGAAAAGGAAACACCACTGTGGTGAGTAGAACAGTAAATTAATTAGGGAGGTATAAAAAGAATGCATAGCAGCAGTGAAGGTTCAGTCAAGGTTACGTAACAAATTTATAGTGGACCCAGTTAGAACGGTTGCATAATTTTGTTCATTTTCATTCAACAGCACATATGTAGGAGTAAAAGCAGTAAGTAGATGGTGGGTGTGATCCAAGGCTGAGGCTTGGCAGGGCACAATCAGTGATATGGTAAAAGGGTAAGGTACTCAAGAGAAGAGGACAGTGTACTTTTGAACTTGTTCACCAAGGGATCAAAAAAGTGAAAGGAGAGTGTAGGTAATAAAAGGGTGATGGGTCTGAAAGGAAATGAAGGTCCTGAAGATTTGGAGGTCACAGTACAGATGAAAAGCAGGGTTTGGGATTAGAAGGGAAAGAGAAAGGTAGAAAGTCATTAGATTGTGATCAGATAAAGGAATTTCAGAGTTCATGAACATGAAGACGGCACATTTGTGGGGGATGGCAAAATCAAGAGTATAACCATCTTTATGGCTGAGGTGGAGTGGAGGAGCAGTTTAAAAACTAGGGGTTTAGGGTGTTTGAGGGAGTGCCAACATGTATACTGAAGTCCCCCAGTACAAGGGCAGGATTTGGGAAGGAAACAAAGATTTGTGAGCCAGAAATTGAACTCATTGAGGAAGGGAAAGGAGTATACTAGAAGTCTTTAGATAACAGCTACTAAGATTTTGATATAGTGGGAGATATACAGAGTATAAATCTAAAAGAAGGAGAAGTTACTGAGTGAGGGTGGTGAAGGAAGAACCTGGAAGAGGACAGG